GGTTCTGAGACCTCACCCTACGAGGTCCCTGCTGGGCCACTGCCCAGCGTCAGAGCAAGCAGGCGCCTCCCGTGCACCTTTTTAAGCCTGAGATTCCCCCAGAACAAGGAGAGGGGAAAAAGAAGCCCGAGGCGACCTACCCCCACGCGGACCCCACCCCGAAGCCAGAGTCAGGAAGGGGGGAGGCTGAGTGAGGCCAGACCTGTGGCTTCTCCTCTGGAGACTGCTGGGGCTCTGGGGACGAGCTGGAGAGCAGGCAGGGGCCCCCGGGGCCTGCGGTATGGAGGCCAGAACCTGGTGACAGACGCAGCAGGGCATGGCTCTGGAGGGCCCTGGGACGAGGCCAGCCAGGCATGGGCCAGGTTGAGGGGGAACTTCGGGGGGTAGTGGAGGTGCTGGCAGAGCCTGGAGCTCTGGGCCTCTGCCCAAGGTCCTCTGTGTGCAGGAGTCTGTCGGAGTCTCAGCACCCGTGTCAGGCCCAGCCCACAAACACACCACATGGGGCGACAGCAAGGGGCTACGGCCCAAACCCATGGGGGAAGCCCCACTCCTACAGTGACAGAGGACCATGGCGAGCACGGGCTCCCTGGAGAGGGCGGGGGAGTGCACAGAGGGGTCTGCAGGGGGCAGGCAGTGTGCGCGGAGTGGAGGTGACAAGGGCTAGAGGAAGGGGCAGGGAAGGGCAGGCCACCATGAGGCGAGCTCACCTCTGTCAGCGCTGAGGGCCTGGTGGGCGGCTCTGCCCTGCGGCTGGGGCAGCTCCCGAGTGGACTGTGGCCTCCCCAGTGCTCTGAGCCCTCGGGGCTCCTGGGGCAGCCTGAGCTCCGCATCATCTGCCTTCCGGGCCCGCTTCTGCTGCAGCTCCTGACAAAGAGGTGTGTCTGAGGGCCCCACAGGGGAGACGCCCCCGCCTTCCCCCAGCCCCGTGGCCATGGCCGAGGCCACAGCAGGTCTGGGGCCCCATGGAGAAGACGGCCCACCCTCCCCGAGCCACCCAGCCAAGGCCACAGCCAGGTCCAGGGCCCCATGGGGTAGATACCCCCGCCCTTACCCAGCCCTGCAGCCAAGGTGACAGCCAGGTCTGGGGGCCCCACAGGAGGGACGTCCCCCTCCCTGAGCCACATAGTCGAGGCCACAGCCAGGTGGTATTGCAGAGTGGGCATGCCTGAGCCCCGCTCTAGGGCCCACAGGCTGCACAGCAGGCCCTGGGGGTCACCCTGGCACCTGGATGGCGGCCTGCCTGGCCTGGCGGGCTTTCTCCTCCCGGGCCTTCCTCCTTGCAGCCTCCTTCTGCCGATGCGCATCGAGGAGGTTCCCCGCATCTGGTCGCTGCCGCCGCTCCTGCCAGAGAAGCCAAAGCCACAGCTGCTGCCGGGAAGTGGGGTCCCTGCACCCAGGGCAGGGCGGCTTCTGCAAAGACCTGGCTGGCCAGAACCCTGAACTGCGATCTCTGAGCCTGGCAGAGGGCAGGCCTCCCCCATGCAGCCTGCACGGCTGCTCAGAGCGTCCTGTGACCTTCAGCAGGGGAGGGTGACCGCAGGCGTGTCCTGACACCCATCACGAAGGCCACCCTGACCATCCACATGGACCCGAGGTCAGTGGGTGACTCTAGGCTCCAGTTCTTGTCCCAGAAACTCCGCATGCAGCTGGCTCAGGCCCTGCAGGCCGACGGCCCACAACCACTGACCTCTCGCTTGGACCGCAGCAGGCATTCCAGGCGGGCAGCTCCCACTCGACGCTGCTGCACCTGGTGGCGGTACCAGCGCTGGATGGTGGCGGCTGCCTTGTTCACTTGGTGGATGAACCTGCCCAGAGAGCAGGGCTCAGGACCCAGTCAGGACCTGGCGCCCCACCGCCTGCAGGGACCAAAGGGCCGGCCGGGCAGAGGCCCGGGCAGAGGCCCTCTCTCACGTGGCTGTGACAGGGCAGGACCAGCCACCCGGACCAGCTGCACTGAACACGAGCCTCCTGGTCCGGAGTCACCCAGGAGAAGGAAAGCGTCTGTCGGCACAGAGACAGACGCCAGAGACAGTATCCCGATGCCCACCAGGTCAGAGCTGACCCGCGATGACCAGACGGCCAGACATTGCTCACGAGCAAGATACACAGCGGTGACTCGTGCCAGGTGAGGGCGGGACGTTGGCCCCACTTACAGGGTACAAGAAAAGGCAAAGCAGGACCAGCAGTTAGCGTAATGGCTGTGTCGCTGGACTCCCACGTACTAGACCACGGTTCGAGTCCCGGACATGGTGGCTTAAAACATGCTGGGTGTGTGTGTGTGCATGCCCAAGATCCTGAGAGGAGAATGGAGAAGGGATTGCGGCGTGGCCATCCCCCCTGGGGGTGATTTCTCGCTTTCTGTCTCTCTTTGTCTGGCGAGTACACGCGCCCTATAGCAAAAACCTCTTAAAAGAAAAAAAGAAAAAAGAAAAGAAAAGGCAAAGCTACGGGAAACCCAGACGTGGGCCGCGGGGGTAGGGGAGGCCCCCTGTGCGGGACCTCGGCGCCCACCTGTGGCCCAGGGCACGTGTGCTCGCTGTGAGGAGCACTTAATCACGCATGCTCAGGGCTAAGCAGACCCCAGCCTGCTCTTGGGCTGTGTGGGCTCGTCCAGCACCAGCGAACACAGGATGTGGGTGGGGGTCCCGGCTCCCTGGAGCACTGCCCTGAGAGCCGAGGGGTGGCCCGATGGGGGCAACGGCCACCGAGCCAGGTGAGGGCTCTCTAGGAGACACCTACGGTGACTGTCCGACAGCTGGGGATGGCTTGGAATGGCCGGCGTAGCTTGGGACGCTCCAAAGACACACCAGGACAGGATCCCATGGGCGCCGCCCTCCCGGGGTATCCCACTGCCCTGAGCCCACCCACTCCCAGGAGCAGGCAAGGGTCTTTGCAGACCCAGAGGGCGCGGCCCGCCTGCCCCCTCGCCTCCAGTGACTGGCCTTTCCTGACGCTCTGCTCAGATGGACCCAGGCTGAGTCTCTACCCCACTACGCGTTCACAGGTTTAGTAACAGGGCGTGTGCGTGCCCGGAGGGAGGAAAGGTGGAAGTCGCCCCTGTGGGACAGCCACGCCACAGTTCCTCCTCCATTCTCCCTTGGGATTTTAGGCACGTACGCACACATGCTCAGTGTGATTCTCAAGCCACTGGGTCTGGGAATCGAACCGTGGTCAACCGTGTGGGACCCCACACCTCAACTGCACTGCCGCCTACTGGCCCCTCAGCCCCACTATCGTAAAACCACCATGAAAGGGGAGTTCCTCCTGTTGGACTCGTAGGCCCCAGACCCTGCATCACAGGGTTACTCCCGACCTGTGCGTGGACTCTGGCCCTTTGGAGCCCACTCCCCTGCCCGTGAGCGGTCACCTCTCAGCCTCCTCCATGGTCACTTCCTCCCGCTTGAGCAGGCCCATGGGGTCCCCGGCGTCTCTCTGGCCAGCGCGGCTACTGCCGGACACATTCTTCGGGGGTGGCCCCACACCGTCGCTGCGGCCGTGGCCCTCATCAGAGGCTGCCTTGAGGATGTTGCTGGTAGGGAAGGGTCAGCCTGTCTCACTGCACCAGGAGGGCCCCGCCCACGGCACCATGCCCCGGCAGCCCAGGGCCACAGCCGGCAGGGAGGCGCCTTGGCATGTGCCAGGCCGCTTCTCCAGCCCCACTCTGCCAGTCTTTGGAGAGTGATGAGCCCTCCTCAGGCCGAGTCTGGGACTGGACCCGAAGGGCACCCTGAGCCCGGTGAGGCCCAGGCAGGGCCCTACACAGCCCAGCCCTCGGGACCCGCCCTGGCTATGCCCACCCCTGTCTCCCAAGAAGCCCCGGCCCTTATGGAGCAGGGCAGCAGGGCCAGGATTCGAGAGCTTCGTGCCCAACCCTGCTTGGGGACCCCAGAGGCCACTGCCCCATGGCTGGGCCTTACTTAAGAACGGGGGCAGCCTGGTTGGAGCTCTTGGGGGGCGGTGTCCTCTCCGAGGGGGCGTGGTGGTTGTGCACCATGGTGGTGACGCAGTTGCCCACAGCTCCCTTGTTGCTCCTGCGTGGGGACGTGGGGCTGAGGCCAGGCCTCGGAGTGAAGGTCAGAGACCCTGGGCCTCCTTGAAGTGCTTGCTAGGTACCCCCGAGGACCCCCAAGAGCGGGAGGCAGAAGCCAAGGCGTGGGCACTGGCCATGCTATGACGGGAGTCAGGCCAGCCTGCCAGACGACGACCGGTTTCCGGAGCAGACCTTGAGACAGAGGGAGCCCGAGTCCCAGGTGCGAGGCTGGGCTGGACAGACCTGCGTACTCAAGACCCATGAGGAAGAACGGACAAGGCGTGACACCAAGGGCGGGACGGGGAGAGAGGCGGGACGCCACAGTCCAGGGCCTTAGGGACGGGAGATGAGGGCCAGCCGGAAGCAGCAGGTACAGGCAGGGCATGGCGGAGGGACCCACACAGCTGTTCTGCTTGTCCCAGTCCCTCAGGCCCCGCGCGACCCAGGACGGGAGGCTGGCCCAGGCGGGGTGGGGAGGGCATCTGTATTTGCCTGGACACCCATCACCTCCCTGCTCGGCCGCACCGCAGCCTGCGTGGGCTCCGACCCTGGGCAGAGCTGCAGAGCCAAGAAAGGCCCGGCAGACACCAGCGGAGCCCTGCCAGGCCGCCCAAAGGGGAGCCCCAAGCCAAGGCCTCCCATCAGCTAGCAGGCTCCCTCCTCCGGTCACCGGACACCAGGGGAGTGCTAGCACGAGGTCAGGGAGGCACCGTCAGAGACCCCCAGCAGCGGACAGCTGAGGGTGGCCCCCCACGATCCGTGGCCGTGGCACCGACACTCGCCGTGACTGGCTGGGGCTGCTGGGCGGACGGCTCAGCACGTCGAGCGTCTCCCAGAACATGCCAGGAGCCGCGTGTCAGAGGCTGGTCAGGAGCAAGGGGCAGGGCTGCTCTTTTCCCCTCTGGCCCCTGGC